TATGTATATATATTTTTGCATTTTAAATTGATTATTCTTGTAAAAACTGGTAAAGAAAAATAAATTTATCACGAATGCTATTTCCCTTTTTTTTCATTGTATTCTTAAAAATAAACATAAATACATAAAGTACTACATATATGTGAATATATTATTATTTTTAGTTATTTTATAAATAGTTTTTTATAAATTTCCCTATTAGATATTTTATTTGTTTTAGTTATATTTAGTGTAATATATATGTGTATATATTTACACAAAAAAAGGCTGATATAAATAAGTAGTAATACTCGTTTATAGTAACCGAATGCATTTTAGATATACAAGTATTTTTTCAAATTAGAACTTAATAACAAAAATATAAAGAATATTTTATATATTATGTAGGATGTAAAAACTATGTAGCTATATTATTTTTTACAATGAAAAAGCATAATGTTACATAACTTGCCGTTTTGTATAAAATGTGAATTTTTTCTCATGTATTTTTGTTCTTGTGTGTTATAATTGCTCCAATTTCGTTTTTTCTCATAAACACAGACCTAAAGAAAATTATAATATATGCCATATTATAGCATCATACATTATTGATGTAAAGACATCGGCAAAAGTTATATTATATTTATATTGAATACTAAATGGAATAACTCCTGTAGTTTTAAAATTGTCCGTATATGACCGTTTTGCACATTACGAGTTGAATATTTACGCAAACCTTTTGTTATTACAGCACATATATGTGTGTACTTTATGCACTATTAAAGTAAATATTTATACACATTCGCATAATTGGAATCATTAATTGTGTTAACCTATTCATCGAAGTTGCATGAAATTGGGAAAAAAATCCAAGCTATAAATTGTGAATAAAGTTTAAAAGATGATGCACATCTTATGATTGACAATCACAGACTTACTTGATCAGAGTTATATATAAATAAAAAAAAAAAAAAAAAATTAAATATGCTTCCTTAATTTTTTAATTTTAAAGAATTAAGCGTAGCATAATATTCATCATCCATTTTATATATTGCTTTCTATTGTTCTATATAATTATGTATTATGTAAAACTCTATAAAATTAGTATATGAATGACAAATAAAGAAAAGCAAAAGAGTTAAATTTCTCACCAATATAAGAAAATGCACATTATGACAGACATGTGAACTATCCAGATAGAGAATTATAACATACATTCAAAACTATGCATCCTTCGTGTTTATTAATAAAATCATAGAACAGTAAATATTAATGCATTTCGCATATATGGATCCACAATTATACGCATTTGGCGAAGTAATCAGACACTATATGTTGTCTAATACTTTTATGATAAAGGTCCTTTTACAATATTATTATTTGAATGAAAATGTAATTTCCTTTATTAGGGAAAAAAGTAAAATAAAAGGTCTCCACATGCTTGGTAAATAAAAATTTTATATCACTAAAAAAGTGTAATAAATTATTAAGTCCAAACTTTAATGCTTCGTGTTATTCAATAAGTTGGATTGAGATGAATATAAATAGTGCAGAGTATAAATAATTGCACACAAAGATTAAGAGTAAAGTCAATGCAAAAATAAATGATAAACTGAGAAATAAATAATGAATTAAGTGCGCACATCATGTTAACGTTTTGGAAAAGTTCTTTGGAAATAAAAAATAAGTATTGAACGCTGCAGTAGAAATTTATTTTTCATTATTATTCTAACAAAATAACGAATATGGAAGGAATAAATAATTAGTGATATATATGGAATTCTTAATATATTAATTAAAATGGATAAAAGAAAAGCATTTAATAGGTCATGATATAAATTAGGATGAACTGAAACTTTGAATTACATCGTAATGATTACAAAATAAGACAAAAAGAATCAATAAATTTCATTTGAGCAAAGTTCTTCAAAACATGGCTTCATTTTTAAGAAATTAGTAATATAAATAATAATTGAACGCCATAAATTTTCTTAAACTGTATCACAAGTGATATTACGTTTCATAAAATAAGTTATTATTGTTTGATTCAAATAATATTTGGCAATTTCATTTAGAAATTAATACAAATAAGAATCAAATATAAGCTTTGTTAAAATTGTTTATATAATATAAAATTCTTTTTTAAAATACAAAAGTAATCGTTCAAAAAATACTTTTTAAATAATAGCTAAAAAAGAGTTAATTATTTAATTATACATTTAAATCATGAATGACAAATATGCAATTAAGGAATATGCTATTTATTTTAATTACATGTTTTAAAATACGTAATCCGAAAAAAAAATTAGTAATATTACTATCAATACATCAGATAAATGCATATTTTGTGATGAGTTAAAAAGATGTTTTTTTTAAAGGTTTATATGAATTAGATTTGATGTCTTGTACAAATAATATTAGAATTCTGCTTTTACATCAAATTTATATTTACTAATAAAATTTTGGAATGTTTTAGTAATTTTTTTAGCTTTAGAAAATTTGTAGCCATAGTACGTCATAAGAATTAAGAATATCATGGAAAAAAAAGAAAAGGCTTGAGCATTTTGTGTAATCATCAATAATAATATGATAAATAGTAGGTTCACTAATGGTGGTGTATATATCATAAGTCTTCTTGTAATAAGTGATAATTTCCCTTTTGCATTTTTATATTTAAAATCTGAACTTTCACTAATGGCTTTACTTTTTATTGCACGTAAACATTCTACATCAAACATTTGATCATACTTTTTTAATAATTCTTTAAACCCCGATTTAGGTTTTTCCTGTGAAGAAGCCAAAGCAACCATAGCTTCAAGGGATTCTTGTTCATTTGACACGTATCCTAATTCGTTATAGTGATCATTTTTTATTGAGCCAAAAGATTTTTTATTTTCCTTATTATTTTTCTTTTTTTTGTTAGATATTTTTAGATTACGATAGCTTTCTTTTGTTTCATGTGATTTTTCGTAATCATTAGAGACATCCTTTCCATCATGGTAAAAAGAATTGCGCTGAGCATTTCTTTCGTAAGCATCATCATAGTAGAATGAATTAGATGTATTTTTTAACTCATTTCTATATTTCTTTGGAGCATATGAACTGTTATAATAATAATCATCATCATTATCATAATTGAATTTATCAACACCATTTCTAAAATTGTTATAATCGTTCAAGGAATCTAGCTTTCCTTCACTGTTTTTATATTGTCTTCCCGAGTTGTGCTTGTTTCGAAATGATATGTCGTGTTTTAATTCATTTAATGGTTTGTCAAAAGAACTATTGTCGTCATCACTATATATATTTTTTGCGTATGTACGTCTGTTTGATTTCTTTACATGGGTTTCTCCCCTTAAGGATCTGCTAGTTCTTGCATTTAGGGAATTATTTGAGTTTGATATGTTTTCAAAAGATTTTCCAAAGATATTTAACTAAAAATTTAAGTAATTTTTCAACGCTCAATGAAACAAATTTATATTAAATTTATTTTTTTTAAAAATTATATATGACAGTATGAACACACATAATTTTTTAATTGTGTGTTTTTATGTTACCTTATTCGAGTAATTGGGTATCCATAATATAAGTGAGAGCAGAAAAGTTGTTAAAAAAAGAGTTTTATTTATTTTTTTAGGCATATTGCATATTTTCAAATTTGTTAAGTGTTGTGAATTAGCATAAATTTTAAGAAGTAATTTATCTATTTCTTTGTGTGTATGCTTGTGAGTCGAGCTAATTTTTTGGTTTGTTTTTTCGAATTTTTGTTTCCTTTTAAATGTAAATTATTTTATTTATAATTAAAAATAATAAATTACAAAATTTAGTAGGGTAAAAAAAAAAAATTAGAAATATGTATAATTGTATTGTTTTAATAAATGTTGTTTAAAAATCTATTAATTAAAATTTTTTTTTTCTAATAAATAAATGTAGAAATTATTTAACACAAAATTTCTTAAATTAACTTAATAATAAATTCAACGTTCTTAAAGGAAAAAAAAAAATAAATAAATTTATATATTTATAAGTATAATGCTATTATTATTTTAGATATAATAATGAATAAAGGAATATAGGAATATAGGAAGTGTTGTTATGTTACATGAAAATTAGGATCGGCAAATTTACCGTTATAAAATTGTTTTTTGAGTTAAATCCATTCTAGTTCTGTTTTTTGATTTAATTTTGTCCCTCTTCTCTTAAAATAGTATTTGCTTTTAACGAATTATTACATATGCCTTGAAGATCCAAAAAAGTAAAATAAAATATATACACACTTGTAAGGTTGGGAACGTAACATTTTGTTATTGTTGTACATGTGAAGTATAAAAAGGATTAACATATATACAATAGTTTTTTGACCCGAAATTAGCAATAATTTTTAAGAGATAATAATTTTTACAGTTTTTCTGCACCCATTTGTTTTAACGCAGAGTTGCTAGTATATAGAATAAATTTAAATTTATATAATTTAACAACGAATTCTTGAATTTTTTTTTGCCCAAAAAAACATTCATAAAATTTATATAGGTTTGGGGAATTTTTTACAACAAAATATTTATAAAAAAAATAAAATTAAAAACGGGAACTAAAAATATTAATGAAGTTGTTATGTAAGAAATTCTTTAGCCAGAATAATTTTTTTATAGAAAAAAATACACATAAAAAATAAAAAAACAAATACACAAACATATTTAAAAAGATATAAAAAGTTATTATACTCAAGGAATTATTGTGAAAATTAAATTTTTTTTTAGTCTGATGATATTTCCATCACACAACATATAATCAAAATAATGTAAACATCAATATTGATATGACGTTATTAAAACATCAGTAAGGAGAAAATAACTAATTATTAATTTTAAATTGAAGCAACAATGAAAAATTGCTTAAAATTAAAAAAAAAGTTGATCATAATTATAAAACATTAATGCTATAATGTGTTGTAAACAAAAGTATTTTTTTTTTTTTTTTAAACCTAATTCATTTGTATCATTATTTTAGTGTGATACGTCGAAAAGAAAAAGACAAAATCCCACTAATGAGTTATTACTAATACAAGGGGGAAAATAAAATTTAATTAATAATTTAAATATATTTTAAATTAACTCTGCGCTTCTAACAACATATAATATATGTATATGTTATTTATATAACTATTTTGTATTCATTGAATTGTAGATTTTGTAATTTTACTTCATTAATGTCTTGGAAATTTTCATGTTTCGAAAATTATTTTCCTGGGAAATAAGCATACTATTTAAGGCTTAGTTAACATTATGCTACTCTTAATTTATTTGATATTCTTAGAAATAACTTCAAAAAAGGTAACAGGATTTGTCCTTAATATAAGGATATGAAGAACATTTTTAATATCCTTATATTAAAAACGAAAATATCATTTAAAAGTTGCTAAATGAAATATATGATTACACTTCCAAATGTGTAATGAAATATATTTTTTCAAAAAGTGAAATATAATAATTGTGCGGGGGACATAATTTATGATGCTATTATAAATTACTTATGTGCATATATTTATATCAAGGAATAATTTTGTTTGTAAATTATAAAAAAAACCTAAATTTTTTTCGTATATTATGTGTTTATCTGTCTGTACATGTTTTACAAAAGAATCAATAATATGGATCCTGCGTATTTTAAAGGAGTTTTATGATATTCATAATTTCTAAATATAAATGCAGAATTAAAAATGGTTTATATACAGTATAATTATTTATATTAATAATAAGAAGCATTAAATATGCATTAAGAAGATGTATGTCGTTAAAATAAGAATCTGTTATAAAATTATGAACCCTATTAATTTTTGTCATATATTTTAATTTCACCTTTTTTTCAGTATCTTTCTCATAATGTTAAATGTTTTACATGAAAAATTGCTATCTTTTAAGGGAGTATTGAATTGTGTAATAAAATAATTTGAGCACGAATATACGAATGAAAACTTCACTTTCATGTTGATTACGTTTGTTGTATAAATATATTTGTAAATTTTTGTAATAATTTGCATTAGTATATGTTGGATGAGTCATTATCAGTAAATATATACAATTCTACCATGGTTAATTATAAATTCAATTTATTTTTATAAATATTATGATATAAACGTAGAGTATTAAAATATAATTTCCCTAGAAAATATATAATAATAAAACATAGTAATACAAGGGAAATTATTGGTTTTTTTTTTTTTTTTTCTATGTCATTTGAAATTACTTCATTCTCAGTCCAGTGTGTTTTTTGTGTTGTCACATAATCAAAGCAACATAACTATACAGAGCATAACACATTTTACAATATTTTTTTTTGAACTCTAATTAGTATAATCTAATATTTTATAAGAATCATTGATTGTGCTTTGTAGTAATAGTGACATATGTGTTTTTATTTTATAAAAAAGAAAGGGATTAAATAATATGTAGAACACTTTATTTCATATACAGAAAAAAAAAAATCCTTAAAATTTTATATGTAAATGATTATGCATATAAAATTATACATTTCATCTATCATACGAATTAAGTATCATCAGAATTCCTCATTTATGATTGTGAGGCACTATAATAAATGGATGAAAAAATAATGCAAGTAAATAGTTGAAAGGTGATATCGTTTTTTGTAAGCCAAATGAGATTATAGGGTGCAATGTGAAATTTATATATAATTTGTATGCCAAATATTTTTTTGCATATAAATTATGAAAATAAATGACACGTAAAAATATATTTATTCACAAGTATTTATCCAAGTAAAATATTTATGGACAGCATGGTATGGCGTGAAAATATGAATAGCCTTCCATTTTGTTTAATTAGGTAATAGGCATAATCTAATTAATGAAGAATGTCTGCTTTAGACAGATGACATAAAATGATACCTAGAATGAATTACAAGGGTTATACCCAATTCCGTGTTAATAAAATACTGCTATTTTATTATAGCTACGAAAAATAATTAAACTAAAAACTAAAAATTGAATTTTATTTTTTATAAATTATAAATAATAACAATAAATTAGCTTTTTAATGAAGGATGAGAATTTTAAAAGTTATTATATCATTCATCTTTTGATGTATTACTTTGTTTATAAAAATTATATCATTTTGCAAATAAATATAATAAAAAAGTAAAGGAGAAAGGATCTAATTATTGAAAAGGTTGAAAATTTTTATTTTAAGAATATAGTTAATAAATAAAATATCCTACTTCCATTAAGAGAAAAACAGGATTATATAAAAAACGTAAAAAAGTAAATAAAATATATATTGTTATAACATTATATTTACTTTTGAATAATGAATATATTTTTACTTTTTACATTTTAAGTTTATGCACATTTCAAACTATTCAATAAATTTACATTTATATAAGGAGAATTCATATGAAATGAATTTCCTATATAATTAATAAGAGAAAGAAATCTTGAAATTTTTGTGTTTCTAGAAGATAGTTTTATATTTTTGAAAAATAGTTTAATTACATTAAACATCATTTTAAAGTAACAAAAAAGGCATATATAGTAAAAATGCGGGAATTAAAACGGATCCCAAAAGGGTGACTAATGTAATAAAAATGGCTGAAATCAGAAAAGCACCTAAAGCGAGTGAACCAATTACACCAAATGCACTACAACCCATTATTAAATTAAAAATCTTCCTGTATTTACTTGCATGTTTAGGAAAAATCTTACCCTCGATAAATGATTTACCTTTGCTAAGACGACGCATTATTAAATCGAAATCTGAATGTACATTTTCATTATTTATAAAACTAGGTAGCTTTGATGTATCTTGATGTTCGAGGAAACCTTCATGCATATTATATTTACGCGGGCCCTTTAAATGTTCGTGCTTCCGCAATTTTAAGTGCACATCAAGCCCTAACTCACCACACGGTTTTTCTTCGTAAGGATTAGGATATCTAAAGGTATTACTGAATTTTTCATTGCGATACATATTACGCTTTAATTCCTCAATTAATTTTGTTTTATTATATTGTATACTTTTTAAGTCATCAAAATATTCCTCCAAATTACTATAATATTTGAATGGATCCATGTTGCCTTGATCATTGTTATCGTAATCATTCAATGTATTAAAGGACGTTTTTTTACGTTTATGCAGCGATGCATTGAAAAATTTTTGAAAGTTTTTGTTATTTATTATTACGCTGTTTCTTCTTTCGAAGAGGCCATTTTGTAATATTGCATTAAAGTGCCTTACGAAATGATCATCTAGAGATGAGGCTTTTAACCTTTTTGCAAAGTCAATATTATCTTCATTTAATAAAGTTTCTACCCTTCTTTGTAAATCCACATATCTTTGTTGTCTTTGTCTTTCGACAATTGCTCTTTCATGCAATAATCTAGCACGTTTCTTATTTAATGAATTGTTTATGTTGCTTTCATTATGGAAAGTTACACTAATGTTCGATGACTAAAAAGAGAAGTAATTATGTTAATTAAAAAGTAGCAATTATTTGTGTATTTATAAATTTTCATTTTTATGATAAATGTAAAAATTAGCGTAAAGGAAAAGGAATTATAACAAATGTGAGTTAAGTACCTCACGACAGTGTATGCATATTAAAAGGGAGAAAATAACTGCTTTAGTAGGAAAGAACATATTGTCTTTTTACTTTTATAATGTATTTTTTTTTAAAAATAACCGAATGTTATGAAACAGTTAATACATATTATATATTATTTTCTTCGCAATATTTAAAATAATTAGAAATGTAATTTTATTAATTATTTTTTATCTATTAAAAAAGCGTTGTTTAAAAAAAAAAAAAAAAAAAAACAAGTGCTGAAAACTAAAAATATTTAAAATGAAATATATTTTATAGAATATTATTATGAATTAAATTAATTTTAAAGCAGATTTAACAAAAATGAAAAGCGATCAAATACTTATGATCTGCAATTACAGGACTGTAGAAAATATTTATCAGAAAATACAATGTAAAGTAAAAAAAAAATACTAATAATATAAATATGATAAAAAAAAAAAAAAAATGATACATGATGAATTGTACTGTTTAATCTAGTTTAAATTCTTACAATTAGAACAATGCAAACATTATTATTTTGCACTATTTATTGTTGTAAAGACTATCATTTATGGTAATTATCCGAATGGATACAACTTTTAATTTTTGCTTTTTTTGTTTTTTTTAAATATTCTTCCTACATCGCATACATTTTTTTTTAAAATGTTAATCTGAGGATAATGGGGCTTAATAAATATATAAAAAAAAATTACATGTAAAAAATAGTAAAATAATGCTGATTTACATGCATGCAATTATATATTTTTTTTTTTTTTGTAACTTTTTAACCTAAAGTATATGATAAACCTCGAGGAATTTGGACCACAATTTATTATGCTTTGTCTTAGGTTTTTATTGTTAAATTAGAGGATGTATAAGTTTATATTAGAGTTTTCTAAAATGATTTACTAATACATTTTGATAACGTCAATAAGTACAATTGTATATTATAATTCTAAATTAAGGATATCAGATGGAATATAATATTATACCTTATAACTACAATATACCACTTGTCCTTTCCGCGCTCTACATAAATATAAAAGTTTGTTAATCAAACATTTTACTATAAAAAGAAAACTCTTAACTTTATTTATAAATTTGTTTAAAATTTTTATATCTATAAAATAATAAAGTTGCTGTAAACAGAAATATAGATAAATTTAATATTGTAATCTCATAATATATATAAATTGTGAATATATGAAACACTAGTTAAAATTTTTATGGCATTTGAACTTTGCAAAATTAGTATTAGATTTACATGTAATATTTACAAAATGAAAAATACGCTTACCCTTAGAACATTGCATAGAGACATATTATATATATATCGCACAATATATACCCTGTCATTGCGAATCAAAAAAATTTAATTAAACATATAATGAAGCGAGATATTCATATAAGTGAATATATACTTATAGTATATCACAAATGTAATTTAAAAAAAATAATAATAAAAGACATAAAAATATTGTATATAAAATAATTGTTGGTTACATTATTTAATCTGTAAAAAGAAAAAATGAGAACTGCAAAAAAAAATATGTGCAAAAATCATTAAATAATTATTTCCTTTTTAATAGAAGTTTTTATATAATATTGTGTTATTGAATGTTATATAACGATAAATACTTGCCAGATTAAATTCTTGCAACAGCACAAATATCGTTACGTGCTAGTGTAACAAACATAAAGAAATATTAATGTAATTTAAGTTAATTATATTAATGATAATTAAAAAGAACACAATAGTTTTTCTAGCTTAATTATGAGAGGGAATAAATTTGAACAAAACGAATTTAACCTTCAGTAAGGTTTTATATATTGATTGTGCTTAAATGTCAATATAGCATTTATTTGAAGCATTAGATTAATTCGAGCAATTATTAGAATGAAATATTTACAGTGCAATTGTCTTACAATGCATAAGTAATTACAATGCACAATATTAGGAAAAATTATGGTACTATAGAGTGTAATTCTGAAATATTCTACTAAGTGGTTATAAAATAAAGTACTACACACCGTAATGTAAAATTTATATAGATAAAATTTTTTGTTAGTGAATTTCTTTTTTAAATAGTTAAACTTATACTTTTAATCACAAAGTTCTATAAATTCGTTTAGTTTATCTTTATATACATATATCTATTTATTTAATGGCTTATAGAAATGATAATATGTTAGAAGTGTCGAAAAAATTCTTAATGTTATTCTACATTTATTAAAAAAAGAACTAAAGATTTTAAGATGAGTTAAAATAAGGAATTTTAATAACGTATCCAAATTAGTAGTTATTTCATTATAATATGACAACAGATATATTTTCCCCTTTTCATACATTACACTTCTATATTTGTAGCATAAAGGAAATATTAACTTTTTTGTATTTAAACATTTATCTAATTAGTTTAAAACCTTATTACCCATTAGCATATGGTCTATAATTTTTAATGTTCTATATATAAAATAAACTAATACGTATTGCACAAAATATTTAATTAGTTTGTCTTTTGTATTATTGTGCTTTAGTTATGTTAAGACAAGAAAAAAATAAATAAACAAAGTAAATTATTACATATCACAGATGTGCATTTACGACTTAAACATTTTTTATAGATGTAAAAACAAAAAATAAGGAAAAAAAAAAGAATTATTAGTTTATAAACAATAAATAAATCGTTTACTTTTGATGCATACTTTAATAATATTAAAAGATCTAAATGAATAGCATGGATAATATTAAATATAGATGTTTTTTCCATTATTCATTATTTTGATTCGAAAAATATAAAACTCATAGAAACAGTTATTTTAATCATAATTAATATTATATTTATGTTAATATGATTATTTTGTTATAGAATTATTCAAATAATTGTATGTATAATCTCTTAATTGCTTTATCATTTATGTTAATTTACAATAATGATATAAATTGTGTTTATAGTGAATTCAAGAGAATAAAACAACTTTAATGATATCATAAAGGATATTTAAATAATACATTAATTGTAAATATTTTTTTCATGTTGTGCAGCAAATTCTATAGATTAACAATTGATACAAAATTCCTTTAAATTAGCCTGATTCTTCGTGCATTTTTTCATTACATCCTATTTTGAAGTATTTTGTAATTATTGATACAAATCACGTGTGTAATAAATAATGATATTAATAGTGTACATAAGGGGATTATAATATACATAAAAAAAAATGTTAGATGATATATGAAAAATAGATCAATCGAAACATTTATAAAAAGAAAAAATTCATAAATTAGACAAAATATATAAACAGTAAGAATTTTCTGATAGTTACATAATCATGAGATGAATAAAATATATTATTCTACACAGAAAAAAAAATTAATATAGTATGGAGTTTTTATCGAAATTAAAAATATAATATTTTAAATTATATTTTTATGGTTCATATAATGTAGTGAAAAACAAAAAAAAAGAATATTCTATAATAAGCAATTCTTATTTTTTTTTTTTACATTTTATAAAAAAAAGTGTAGACACAATACCATCAACGTACGTCATTACACAAGTTTCCTCAATAGATAGATAAAAGACATATATAACTGACGTGTTATATTGAACGATAAGATATATGAAGTTAATTTTTGTATGAGTTAACAATATTACTGGTGTATTGATAATGTGGAATGTAAAAACTAGAATCAATATTAATTTTACTTTCTCTGCTATTGGCATTTTTCAAAATTACCACATAAAATTTTTTTTAAAATTATATAAAGAATAAAATGTTTGTCACTACAACTGCTTAACTCATTGAAAAGACATTTCAATATTTTTTGATAATTACTATTCATTCCATATATATTAAGTTGCGAATATATTAACTTTACTCTCGTTGTGCTATCATATACAAAACATAAGTAATATAAATAACTACAATTGCTTCATAAATCAGTTATTTATGGACTTTTTATAAAATTCTGTGATCCCTTTGTGCAGAGTATAGCATAAACGTTTTATTATTAATACAAAGTAAACGATTACTTACATATTTTAAAAAAGTCACGAGGTTGATATCATCATTAAACAAATTACATGATTCTTCTCCTTTTGAATCATAATCAGTGTATATTTCAAATTAAGTGTATTACATATATTATAAAAATGTTATCCTTTTTTAGTTTTTTCAACTTCATTTTCAAAAAATTTCTCTCTACATTTGATATTTTACCTTTGTTTATTTATCTTCTTTAAAAGTTTTCTTTTATTGTTCTTCCCATTAATTTAATTTCTTAAGCTGTTGAATTTTGCTCTGGACGCTTTTTTCCTGCTTTCCGTACTAAATTAAATTAATTGTGATGTTTTTTCCTTATTATTTTATTGTCCATCTAAACATTTAGAAATAACATTTTATTGCTTCCATAATATTGTAAATTCGTATAAATAACACTCGAGTGTAAATTTATGCGTGCTGTTATTAAAAACAAGTACGGAATTTTCCATAATATATTCAAACATAAGTACATTCTCATCATTTTCCATATCATTGATGTATTTACATTTGTATAAAGCTTCTGCATCTTTATTAGTCAATTAGTATTGGAAGTATTTATAAGATTAATTATTTTCAAAACTTTTTTCTGAATTGTCCTGTTCCTTTAAAAAACATTTATTAACAAAAGTCATTTTAGATTCTAATGTATATTTTCTACATCCAGGAATACATCTAAAAATCTTGGAATAAGTTCAATGAAAAATAAAAGAACATATACATTCATTTATTACATAAGAGTTATGTTAATACATCAATTACCTTTTTGTTAGTGACATAATTTGATCCTGATATAAACATTAAACTCTATAAAGAAAAATATCCCTTGTCTATCCTTGCTGCCCCCACTTTAGATATATGTTCAAATTATTAAACTTATATTAAGTTTTTATGGTATATAAAATATGCCATGGTCTTGCTATTCAAATATTTGCTATATTTTTTGCTATTGTATTTCATTCATGTTTTTGATCATTAAAACATTATATAACGGACTCTGTTGCATTATATTTACTCCTTATATGAGCGT